GAATGAACCCTGTGTCGCCTTTACTTACCATGACAGGCATCAGTACTAAGGCATTGAAATTATCTATCCATATTGCAGCATTACCTTTAGTAACTAACTCCTTTGTGAGTGAAAAGTTCATCTTGACATTTACCGCACGTTGTGGGTTTTTTTTTCCTCTCTTCCTCCTCCACCACACCTACCACACCTTAGGAACCGTAGTAATAATGGGTGTTGGCGGGCGCTCTGCTGCAGGTAGGAGCCGTCTCTCTCTCACGTCTAGTATTTACCTGGAATGAACACCTGAGCGTAGGTTGATAAATACATGAGGTTTAATTAACAAAATACGTACGTGGTAAGAATGAGACAGGATAGTAGAGTACAAATAACCATTACAGATAGATATTGAATACAGATTTAACATTGAAGATACAGTTGAGTTTTTGTATCCTAGTCACCCGCCTCAGTGTTGTGTGCCGCTGAGCTATTATTCATATTTTTTCTTTTTCAGGTGAGGTGGGGGGGGGGGTGTTTCTTGGCCACTCTTGTAATTGTTTGTTTCTTTATTTTTGTCTTGTTCTTTGTTTTGTCTTTGTTTGTGTTTCTTTGTGTTATAAACTCACATTCTCTCTATTTATGAGCTAATACTTAAATGCCTATTTTTCCTATTTATAGATGAAGGCATAAACTCCCTATTTTGATTTACTATTTATTCCTCCTTTCTTGTATTCCAATTAGATACACAAATTTTAATCACAATTTTCCTTTTATTTCGTCAAAATAAACATCACTTCTGTGTTTTTTTTTTGAGTCCCGTTTGTTCGTTTTTGTGTTTGTGACGCTATACATCCGGTCTTTGTCTTTCTCTACACTTTACTCTTGTTATTCTTATTATCATTCTTTCTCTTCATCTTAGACTCCGTTATATCAATTATTTTTTGGGGGTTTGTTTTTCATTCTTGGTAACTTGTGTGTTTTAATTTGTCACTGTGATGTATATATTTTTTTCTTCTTTTGCCTTTGTTTTTGTTTTGTTTGTTTTGTTTGTTTGTTGTTATGTTGTGATTCATTCATGTGTTCTTATGTCGATTTCTTATTTCGAGTTTTTCTTTATTTTTTTTGTTTATTCAGTGTCGCCTTAACCTTAACCTTATTCCCACCCAGCCAGCAACCCAGCAGCCCAACCGCCCAGCCCAATGCAGCCCAACCCAACCACAAGCAGCCAATAGCCAGCCAGCCCCAACCCAACCCAACCCAACCCAACCCAACCCAACCATTCAATCATGTTATGGTCCACAGAATGAGTCCAACACCTTTTTTTTTATAACATGTCCCGTTCTCCTGCTGCAGATCCCGCCTCGCCTTCTACAGCAGACCACCACCACACACCTGTCCACACACCTGTCAGACCGTAATGAACGTTCTCTGATTCATATCTTCGTTAATGTCTATTCTTTGTCTTTGAGAATTATTATTATTTTTTTTTTTCGTGGTAATTGGTGATGGATCGAGAGGGAATATTTAGTGTTCATGCACCTCCAAGCTGTGGTGTATGATGGTGGTTTAAACTAATGTGAGTTGAAGTTTGATCCTAATCTGACGCGTGGGGGTTAAACTGAGCTGACGTGTGGGTTTAAACTGAGCTTACGTGTGGGTTTAAACTGAGCTTACGTGGGGGTTAAACTAAGCTGACGTGGGGGTTAAACTGAGCTGACGTGTGGGTTAAACTGAGCTTACGTGGGGGTTAAACTAAGCTGACGTGGGGGTTAAACTGAGCTGACGTGAGGGTTAAACTGAGCTGACGTGTGGCTTAACCTATTTTCAGGAGTTGTTTAACCAGATCTGTGTTGAAGTTTTAACTGATCTGAACTTTGATTTCAATCACGATTTGAACTGTGAATTTTATTGGAATTTAAACAACGACGTAAAAATGCGATTGGAGCTGCAATTTGAACCTGTGACGTAACCCTGTGGTATAACCCAACTGTATATAATAACCTTTTAGCTTAACCCGCCTGTGAGCCTCGAAGAACGTCAAGTGTAACCTAATACTTCTTACTCGTGGTCCAGCATCCCTAGAGAGAGACGTGTCAGGGTATCAAAGGGTCGCAATTATGTCGTTTGGAGAGAGATGTCAGAACGGTGTTTCGGGGTCAAGAAAGACATGCAGGGAGGGAAGAGGGGAGGGACGGAGACAAGGAGGGAGGGAGGGAGGGAGGGAGAGAAGAAGACGAGAGACACTCATTGAGGGAGGATAGGGAGAAGGAAGGAGGAAGGTGTGTAGAAAGGAAGTGAAGAAGTTATGCTAGCAGGAAGGGAGAAAGACAAATTTGCAGGAAGGGAGAAAAGGAAGAAATGGTGGTAGGTTGAAGAATAGTTCTATAGGAAAGATTGGAACAAGGGAGAAAAGGAGGAAGGGGGGAGAGGGTGGGGGTATTTTTTGTCATGGGAAGCTAAAGTTTGATCTTTCACGAACCTGATTCCTTCCTCTTCTCCTTCAACCCTCCCCTCTCCTCCCCTCTCCTCCCCCTCTCCTCTCCTCCCCTCTCTCCCTCCCCTCTCCTTCCCCCTCTCCCCCCCCTCCTCCCTCCCCCTCCCCTCTCCCCTTCCCCCTCTCCTCTCTCCCCCTCTCCTCCCCCTCTCCCTCCCCTCCTCTCCCCTTGTCTCCACCTGTGACCCACTCACCTGCGACTGTGCGTGCTGGTCGTGTGAAAGGTGATCAAAATAAGGCGTGGGTATGTTTTTTTTTAATGTGTGTGTGCGTGTTGTGAATGTAAGTGTCGTGTTAATGGTGTATCACAATAAGTCTGGCCTGTGGGTTGCATGCGTGTCTCGTATCGTGTTTGTATATATATAAAATTAGTCATGTTTGTCCTTTTGATCTGCTTGTGTGTGTGTGAGTGTGTGTGGATGTGTGTGTGTGTATGTTTTGTGTGCCTTTTTTTGCGTCTTTGTATGTTGTGTTTGTGTCTGTATAGGTGTATATTTTTGTTTCTGTATGATCGTAATGCGTTTGTGTTTTTATTTGTTTGGTTGGATGTGTGTATATTTCTCTGTGTGTGAAAGTGTATATGTGCGCAGTCCTGTGTATTTGTGTGTATATTAATTTTCTTTGGTATGTGTGTGTGTGTGAGAATCAATAAACATGTGTTCATATATTCCTTTGACGAATGATAATGTTTACATGGGAAATTCCGTGGTGGTGATAATGGTGTGGTGATGATGGTGTGGTGATGATGGTGTGGTGGCTGATGTGGTGGCTGATGTCTTCTGTATTTATGAGCTGGTGTGGTAGTGCTTGCATGTTGGTGTGTCTGTTTTGTCCCTGTGTTTGTGTGGTAGTGCTTGCATGCTGGAGTACCTATACCTCCCCTGTATTAGTACTTGTAATGTGGTTCCCAGTGTGCGTGTATGTTGTTACATACCTGGAAAAATTATCTATGGAGGAAAGATTCTACCCCATCGTCGAGTAGGAGGAGGGGGTGAGGGAGAGGGCAGGGTGAGGAGAGGGCAGGGTGAGCTGAGGCAGAGGTGGGAGGGTGAGGCAGGGGGAGGGTGAGGTGAGGAAGAGGGGAGAGTGAGGAGAGGATGTGTGTGTGTGTCTGCAGGAGGGAAGGGGGGTAGAGGAAGCCGTGGCCGCCGTATCAGCTGCTTAAATTAGATAGTCAGTGAAAGTTCCTGATTGGAAGTTGACCATCCTGGGGTTCTGCACACACACACACACACACACACACACACACACACAAAACCTCCACCAAGGCACCGAGAAATGACATATATCCCCTCTAAAGCAAGCTGTCAAGTACGTATCTACCTTGACCACCTGACACACACACACACACACACAAAAGCCTTCCTGTGAACGCTGGAAGCAGAGAGAGAAGTGAAGTAAAAAAAGAAACGAGTATATTAAAAAAGTACATCAAGGGTCTTACACTCAGTGTGTGGTAGGTAAGTACTGAAGTAGTGGACCATGCCGTAGGGGTACTTTGGAAATGCCAGGGTGCGCGCGCATGTGTGTGTGTGTGTGTGTGTGTGTGTGTGCTTTTGGGGGTGGGGGGGGAGGGTGAGACAGGTGATGTTCTTAGTGTCAACTGACCCATTCTTCATCATTCTGTGCTTGTTGGTTTTGTGTTTTGTTTATCATCACTAATAAAATTCCTGTGAATCACTACCTTTGTCATTGTTGTATAAATAAGAGGTGTGTGTGTGTGTGTGTGTGTGTGTGTGTGTGTGTGTGTGTGTGTGTGTGTGTGTGTGTGTGTGTGTGTGTGTGTGTGTGTGTGTGTGTGTGTGTTGCCCTCCACTCCCCTTTCCCTATTTTTATACACAACAGCTTCCGCTTTTACGAGGGCCATTACACGCTGGTCACCCATACCCGGCCTATATGCATTCAGTTTCCTCCCCAACCTCGCCTGCACCCTGTAGCGTGGGCCACATTACTCTTTTTGGTCGTCCCTTTAAATATGCGGCTCCTTCCTCATTGACGCCCGGTACTTACTCTCTATCGCTTCATTGTACAAATTAGTTTTCCATATATGTAATTGTGTATAACGGACGTGAAATAACTGTTATCTTGAAGCTTAGACAGTTTGTCAGGTTTTTATATTAAGTCGTTTTTATTGCTTAGAGTGTGGGTGTGTGTGTTATCCACAGTGTTCGTGCCTTATCCATACCGGTAACGCAATGTTTTGTGGCTGACAGCCTTGTTTGTGTCTCCGGCCATCAGCCTTGCCCTTATCTCCCCATTCTTCCCAGCGTACCGACGTCTCCTTGCCAGATGTCGATGGAGCCTGGGGTTTCCTTTATGTTGTATGAGGTCGGCAAGACGCTCGAGTCGTGCGTGACAGTGTGGCTCTGCAGGGCGAGAGAGAGCAACGTGGTTGGCTCCTCCCTACACACCTGCTGTCCCTCAGTTCCTGGTGCAGGTTCGGGCCGGGCCGTCGAGGGTCTTGGAGGCGGGCGCGAGGTAGTCAGGTCTGTCTGGGAAGAATGGCGGCCTCGGCAGTCAGTGTGCAACCGAGCATCACACACGCGCCACCTCCTCCCTCCTGACGAGCCAAGCTCTTCTCACTGTGTTGGCTCGTGCCACCCTTACCCACTACAGCAACGACAACAACAGCGCTGGGGTGTGTGGTGAAAGGAGAGCAATACTGTGAGAGGGTCGTGTCCACAAGAACACTGCTTAAAGCCAACACTACGGGTTGGAGATCATGAATACTGTTAGTGTCTTACCTAGTCGCGAGGAGCTGGCCTGTCACCGGACGCTCCTTATTTAACAAGGACCCTTAGCAGCTTATTGTGTTGTGATATAAGAGTGAAAAGTCACGGAGTGGAGGAGAAGAAACTAAGTTACTATGTTGTGTCGGACTACGGGTTTAGAGATATCATAACATCCACAGCTCAAGATTAAGAAAACCTCTTCAAGTCTAACATTAAGCTACATCACTGTTCCCATTATCCAGTGCTATTATAGACTTAACATGAAATAAAAAACACCACGAAGAGTGAAGCGGTGCCAAAACGTGTAATTACGGCAATCACAACAATGACGCAACCCTGAGAATGTGTAGTGTCTATTAAACCTCTCGGCGTCGGGAGTGTGATGTTGTGAGGAGGAAGTGGTGATGTTGAGGTTTGTGTTGAGGCAGATCTGATGTGTACTGGGATGTACTGAAGGGATGTTGAGTGTGTATGTGTGTGGAGCATCAGAGTCTCTGCCATCCACCTGTCTTGTGAGGATCACTGTGAGACCTCAACGCGCGGTCAGACCTTCTTGCGAGTCGAAGCTTCAGCACCAGTATAATACACATGATTTATTCCCCGATTATTCAGTGATTTAAGATTATACGATGCAAGCGGATGAACTCAGAGCACTTTGCCAATTCATTGCATCAAAAGATCAGACTCAAGGTCCGCCATGGGATTATGCTACTAGTTATTGTGTTTTACTGCCATAAGAAATTAATTAAAGATGAAAGTACGTTGTTGTGGACTTTGATATTCGTGGGCCCAGGAAGTGAGTAAAGAGCAGTCCAAACATGGCTGATAGTGGGGACTTACCGGCCCAGTGTTGTGACCTTACGCACCCTGACTTGTTCTGTGCCCGTGTCTTACCTGACGAAGGGTCTACTCACCGTCCCCACTTCTTCACTGGTTCCGGGGACGACTTGAACCGGTTCACAGACACGGCCGGCCCTTCAGACACAGATGATTATTCACAAGCGTTCACAGACAGGGTTAGTCATCCAGACCTAGATGGGTGTTCACGTGACTTCACTGATGACACACTCAGTCAGCAAGACACAGATGATTGCACACTTACGTTCACAGACACGGATGACTACTCGAATCTGTTCTCAGATGCAATCAGCCAGACAGACACAGATTTTTCCTTACAGACGTTCACAGACAATATCAGAATTCCAAACAGGGATGACCAGTCGTCTGCGCTCACAGGTACAACTGGTCACACAGACGCTGGTAGCTGCTCCCATACTTGTACAGTCACAGTTCACCGACCAGACACCTTCACAGACCCCGCTCTTTACCCAAATGCCTACGATCACACCTTCACAGATGGAAACGGCCACACACAGACTATTCAAGCTACGGTCCACCACACAGACTCTAATGACTGCCCCAACATTTTTACAGAGAATGGCGACTACCCTTATTCTTCCACTGATACGCTTAACTCACACATATCCACAGACATAGATGACCACACCACCAGAGAAACAGTTTGTATATTACACACCAATAAAGACACGCAGCTGGAGACCTCAAAAGAGGTGACACATCTGCACGCTCAGTCTCCAGCCGTCATAGACTCATCTCGCTACCAGAGTCAGTTCATCTCGAGGAAACATCCCCTGATAGATGCTCAGCACGGTCTCAATCACCCACACCATTCCATAATAGACGCAAACAACTACCACAGACCCCTGGATGGGATCACAGACACGAGCGACGAGGACTGTCGCCAACCAGAGGCCACTACAGACTCAAGTCAACATAAGGAACAAATTACAGACGATGAGGAAGACCTGCCACCTTCCATCAGTGACACAGACGAGATGGAGCAACACGAGGAGCCTCCCACGATAAGATTATCCGAGAGGAAGGTGAGTGAGGCTTCTGATGGGGATGTGGTCCAAGATGAAGTTCCTCGACGTCTGAGCTTCATAAAGGCTGCTCCTCGCCGTCAACTATCCCACAACGTGATGTTTGGACGCAGGTTGTCCCACGACGTGACGCTTAAACGCAAGTTTTCCCACGATATAACATTGAGGCGCAACTTGTCCCAGGATGCACTCCTCACTCGTCAGCGGTCCCAAGAAGAACTTCTCACTCGCCAGCGGTCCCAGGATGCCATACTGACTCTGGGACGTCAGGCACCCCGGGAAGGAACCACTGACAGGTTGCTACCTCCTCTGCGACGACTCTCTGACCTCCGCAACCTGACGCTGACCCTGGGTCTCCAGATTCATGGCTCCTTTCTTAACCTCGCTACTGAAAAATCCCGCAAACAGGTACAGTCACCACGCGTTTCTTCCCAGAAAATTTATACTTTTACCAGTGTACAATACCTGGAGGGGCTGAGGGTGTGGTAGGTGTGACCCAGTCTCCCTGTGCCCGCGTGTGACCAAGGGCACACTCCACACGCGAGCTAGCCGGGGCCCCTGTAGAATGTTAAGTATAGTAGACTAATAGACCCACGAGAACGTTGCACACACCTGAATATAAGAAACTACCTTACATATTATTTTTATGAATAACGCGGATATATTTTGGTATGTGAATTCTAGACCATTAGATTCACGCTATTGTTTGACAGCTATTATGGTGCTGTTTTATACTTGTTATTATTCAGTTCACTTCCTTCACTTCAGGTGTTTAACGTACTCTGTGGGTTAATTAGTGGAATTGCTTGTATTGTTCCCAGCCAGGTGTTGTTGCTGTGTATGTAAATAAATTTGTGAGAAAAGAGGGTGGGAGGAAAGAGAGGGAGGGGAAGTGGGAGGGGCTGAAATATTCATCTGAAGGATAACTTCTTGTTGTAGCGTTGAAATCTCCTACTCTCTGTCTCACTTCCCCCCTCTCCTCTCCTCTCCTCTCCTCTCCTCTCCTCTCAATCACTCTAGATGTAGGTCAATCGCCTACATGGTGAGGAGGGGTTGTCAGTGTGCGCTAATATGTTCTCGAGTTTGCTGCCAGAGTAACCAAATATACCACTACTAACTATACCTTCAGGTTGTTCACAGACGAAAGGTAATACTTTTTTTTTAACAACGTAATTTCAGAATATTTAAGAGTAATTGTGTGAGAATATTAATTTATAGATATTAAAAATAAGGTATTAAATTTAAGAAGTATAAAAATATAGTAGAAACGAAATAAATTTTAATAATATATGTTGAAGGACACTGAAGGGTAGATTATTAAAGGTTAGTTCAAGTAATATATGTTTAAAAAAATATATATTTATTGAAACGTAATAATTTAACCTTAGAAATATTGTATGAGTTATGGTTAAAGTGAGTTATATTTTGATATATGAGGATAAATATATATATATATATTTTTGTGTGTGTGATAGACAATGTTTCTTAGTCGAGGGAAAGTAATAATTCCTGAAGCTGACAGGGCGTGTTCTCCTGACCAGCCCCGTCTTGGTAGAGGGGCTGTAGGTTAAGTACAGCCCCCAGCCCCCAATAGACCCTGACCTAACCCAGCCTTACCTCATCATTAGGAAGGGTGCCAACTAGGAAGGATACCCTATTAGGACTCGGGGCCAGTCCTAGTATGTATAGTTAGGTGAGGCTGGTGTTTAATAGCAGTAGTGGGGCTATTACAACTGGGGTCTATTAAGACTAGATCTTATGAGGAATGACGATGGATCGTTTAAAACTTTGGATAAACTAGAAGAGGAATTTATTAGATTTGGGTCTTATAAGAACTAGTACCTATTAGAACTGGGGTCTCAATAGAGGTGTGGTCTATTTGACGAGACCACCTTGGGAGAGCCTGGTGAGGGAGAGAGAAAATGTTGCTTCAGTGAAAAACAACATAAACAGGTAAGATCATTTGAATACACACACACACACACACACACACACACACACACACACACACACACACACACACACACACACACACATAAACAAACACAAAGAGAGGTACCAGTTAACACGAAGACCCTCATCTACTACACAAAGAAGTGGTTTTTCCGCCCACCTCCCATAGAGACGAAATTGACAGAGAGAGAGAGAGAGAGAGAGAGAGAGAGAGAGACTGGATACATGCTCGGAAGATATGTGCTGTGTCTGGTGCAGGCGATTTACACCCACTTGTATATTTTATCAGACGTAGGTGTTTTCTGACGCAGCTAATGATTTTGTTAACAGTGTCATTTTTTTTTATGGTAAGCTCACCAGGTCGTGTCGTCGTGAGAATTAATGTTTTATTGGTACTGTATGTATATTTGTTTTACTGTTTCTCTCTCTCTCTCTCTCTCTCTCTCTCTCTCTCTCTCCTTTTATTATAATTTGCATAATTATTTGTTATTTATTTTATATTATGTCCTTGTCTTTATTATTCTGTTTTATTATCATTCATATATTTATTTTTATTATATATCTCATTTGATAATTATTATATATTACCTTTACCATTCTATTATCATTTATGTATTACTCCTAATTATAGTCCTCATTTGATTTTTTTTTAATTCCTATATACTTTTCCTTTTAACTTTTAACATTGTTTTAAATATCATTCAAATTTTAACTTAATTACACTTCCTTATTAAAGTAAAATAATAAAGGTAAGACTAAATCCAGGTTAACCTTCAAGTAGTTCCTTGTTGCGTTCCCCCCTCGTGTTGTCCACTTCGCGCGGCTCTTGTAAACATTCCTAATACCTGAACTGGGAATCCCATTCACGTAACGCATATAATAAGGATTATTTGGTGTTTTTATTAGCCTGTGCATTATCTAGGTGTGTGTGTGTGTGTGTGTGTGTGTGTGTGTGTGTGTGTGTGTGTGTGTGTGTGTGAGTGTGTGTGTGTGTGTGTTGTCTCTCTCTCTCTCTCTCTCTCTCTCTCTCTCTCTCTCATTAATGATTGGTTGCGACTACAGCCCAGCGTGTAATGACTCCATTAAATCACAGGAATAGTCGAGGCAAGTCCTGAAGCTATTGCAGGCAGTCTACCCCCTACCTGTACTAATGGTTGTATCTCCGCCCTCTTGAGTGTTAAAGGTCGCCCTGCCTTAATGGCGTGGCGTGGTGTGTGATGGCGGTGGTTTGTGTGTTGTGGTGGTGAACTGAGAGCGAGTCCTTATATGGGGGTGTAACTCTCTGGGTGTTTAGGAATTAAGATCTCTCTCTCTCTCTCTCTCTCTCTCTCTCTCTCTCTCTCTCTCTCTCTCTCTCTCTCTGTGTGTGCCTGTGTGTATGAAGAAGACCTAAAAAACCCCGTTAACAAATAGGCCCCCTCACACCTCCCCACCCCTCACCTCCCACCCCCTCACCTCCCCTTCCCTCACCTCAGCTGGTACGCCGGGCCACACAATGAACGTATACAAAACTCGAGCCCTGAAGAGTTGTAAACCCTTGTGTGTAACCTGGTAATTATAAGTTAAACCTTCCCCTTAACTTGTGTGGGTTTCTTAAATTAGATCTTAACAACTGATTGTATAAGGTTTAAAACTTTAGTGGAATTGATGTTGGTGATTTGTGTCTTGAGATATATTATAAACAGATTTTTTTTTAATTATATTGATTATTTTTTTGCATTAATTAGTCTGTTTTGGGTTTATTACATATTTATCGTTTTTTTTATTGATTATTTTTTATGGCCAAGTCTTTCTGGTTTTATTTTTCTATTATGGGCATTAGATTGTTAACGCTGATTTGGGTTTTAACATCAATTAATTTATAAAGAATGTGAAGGAAGATCTTAAGAAATAGAAAATAAAATAGTGGGATATTGCCTTGGGATTTTTTTTTCCATGTGTAAAAAAATAAAATATGTACTGTATTAAAATGTTGCCGTGGTTGTGTTGCTTCCTTTATTAATAACGTTTTGCTTACTCACTCACCTGGGTAACCTTTCCTTCCTCAAGTATTGTAACAGTAGCCACACCCTTCCAATTTACCCCTCCCTTCCTCCCCTCCCCCCCCCCATTCCACTTCCTTGCACCTCCCTTCCTACCCTCCCTCCCATTCCACCTCCTTGCCCCTCCCTCCCATTCCACTTCCTTGCCCTCATACCCTCCCAACCCATCTTCTCCTATCCTCTTATCTTGCCCTTCCTTCCCATCATCTTCATTTCTTACCCTCCCATTCCACCCTCCTCTCCCACCCTTCCACCTCACTTACCTTTGTCCTTCTCCCATTCCACCCATCCCTTCTCACCCTCCCATTCCACTCTGACGTGCTGTTAGGGGTAATGCGGATGTAAGACCCTGGGATAAATATTGATAGGAGTACAGTTGCCCACACAGAACCTTTGCAGAACCCTCCAGAACCTCCCAGAACCCTGTACAGTCCCTAGATCCCTTCCAGAACCCTCCAGAACCTCCCAGAACCCTGTACAGTCCCTAGATCCCTTCCAGAACCCTCCAGAACCTCCCACAACCCTGTACAGTCCCTAGATCCCTTCCAGAACCATCCAAAACCCACCAGAACGATTCCGGAACCACCTAGAAATCGCAGAATGACTCCAGAATTCCCCTCCTCAAAAATTAAATAAAATAAAAAGTGTAATATACGTCTACACGACTCCTTGACATTATTTTTTTTTCCAATCAGACACCCTCCCTCTCCCCCTCACTCGCCCCTCTCCTGCCCCCCTACCCATCCCCCCTCTCCTCCCCCCCTACCCATCCCCCCCTCTCCCACCTCTCCCCTCCCCCCTGCGCCTTTTGACATTTCATCATAACATTTTACTTCGTCATTGTGTTTCTATTCGTCTCAAGTGTTTGAAAAAAATTGTAAAAAAAAAATAATAATAAATAGAAGTTATGCAAGATAATTTAAATTTGTTGTGGGTGTGGCCATGTTGGTGTGGCCATGTTGGTGTGGCCATGTTGGTGTGGCCATGTTGGTGTGGCTATGTTTGTGGCCATGTTGGTGTGGCCATGTTGAGTTTGACCCATTTGTTCGGACAGTAACGAAGTGAGGGTTTCGTATTCTAGTTTGTTTGTTATCTTAGTGGGTTATCGTGGTTGTGTTTTGTTGGTGGTTGTTGTTATCGTGGTTGTGTTATGATGGTGGTTGTTGTTATCGTGGTTGTGTTATGATGGTGGTTGTTGTTATCGTGGTTGTGTTATGATGGTGGTTGTTGTTATCGTGGTTGTGTTATGTTGGTGGTTGTTGTTATCGTGGTTGTGTTATGATGGTGGTTGATGGTGATGGTGGTTGATGGTGATCGTGGTTGATGGTGATGGTTGATGGTGGTGGTTGATGGTTAGTAATGGTGGTAGTAGTTGTTGACGACTATGGTGCTGTTGCTAGTGGTTACTGTACA